GGGGATTTCATTTGGACTGAAAGAAGGTTTTTGACACAGTACCACACAAGAGATTAGTGAAAAAAATTGGGGACCAAGCAGGGATAACAGGGAAGGTACTGAAAGGGGATCAGGGAATATTTGTCAGGAAGACAGCGCGAGAATGGTACTGGGAGGGTCAGAGGGGCACCTGTGACCAGCGGGCCCACAGGGGTCATCCAGGACCAGTGCTGTTTTTGGTATTTTGTGAACGACATGAGGGAAGGAATAAACCCGATGTCCCTTTTTGCAGATGACGTGAATTTGAGGAAAAGTTCATTCGATCGAAGCCCGGGGGCAAACTAAAAGGGATCGGACAGGCTGCAACCTGGTCCAGCAATTGGCTCCTGGGTTCAATCCCACCAAGTGCAAAGTATAAAGATTGGGGAAGGGCAAAGAAGGCCCAGAGGGATACAGTCAGGGGGTCAGAGACTACAAACCTCCCAAGGAAAAAGATTTGGGGGGATATAACACCAGGCACATCTCCCCGAAACGCCATCAACCAAATAATGCTGCAGCAAAGGGGGGCCTAGCAAAACCCAGAAAAGGGATTCCGACATCTTAAAAGGATCGTAGGACCCTGTACACCCCCATATTAGGCCCAAATTGGAGTAGCGGCACCATTTTTGGCCCAACCTGCCGCACGAAAGAAATAGAGAAAGTGCAAAGGTTTGCAACAAGATATCCCCCGAGCTAAGAGGATGTCCCCGAGGAAGGTTTAAGGGAAAAAAAAACCCGACGCACTGGGGGACAGGGAAAGGGGGGGACTGAAACGCAACAAATATGAGGGAATTGACAAGGGGGGACAAAGAAAGGATGTTCCGAGATTGGCACAGTAACAAGGGGACACAGGGAAGCTAAAGACACAAGAACACGGGGTTTGAAGATTTTTTCAGCCAAGAGTAGTCAGTAAGGGAAAGTTTGGGAAGCGTGTAGTGGAGGCAATCCATCTAGCTTTAAGAAGGTATGAAAAAATCCGGCTCGGGGAGAGTGACCTAACGACAGTGAAGAGGGGGGGGGCCAGGGGCTCGGACCGCCCCCGCAAACCCCAACTAGGTGAGTCAACCAGGGGAGTAAAACACACAAAAACACACAAACACAAACACCACAAACACACACACACGCACGCACACAGGCCACTTTATTAGGTACACCCTTCTAGTACCGGGTTGGGCCACTCCTTTACCCCCAGAACAGTTTGAATTCTTCGTGGCATTCATTCAACAAGATGGAGGAGACTTTCCTCAGAGATCCTGGTTCATGTTGATAACATAGCATCACGCAATTCCTGCAGATTTGTCGGCTGCATATTCATACTGAGAGTCTCCCCTTCCATCACATCCCAGAAGTTTACACCAAATTCTGACCCTCCCAGCTGCATGTCGCAGCAGAAATAGCGATTCGTCAACAGGTCAGGCGAAGTTTTTCCAGTTTTGAA